GCTCACTTTTGGACATGTAAGACACTATATAAACACAACAAGCATAAGCATCAACGCAATACTGGATATCAATATTTGCATTCCAAGCTTTTAACAGTGGCCTGCTATATTGATTAATCCAGAGTTCATTAATTTGTCTTTTCAACACAACATTAGTATTCCTACTGGATCGCTTATATGCCATTTCAAATAAATCTTGACTTATCCCCAAAGCTTGAAACATTGCTTCAACTGTACTATATGGACAGTTCTCATCTGAGATGGCATTCTTGACATTTGTTAAAATATCAGTTGCTCTATCTCTCTCTATTTGTTCCCAACTTTTCTTGTCCTTACCAAGACATAAACAATCTACTTTATCATCAGTTTTATCCAAATTACATTTGCAAGTCTTAACCGGATCATGATATTTTTCACCGCGACAAATAAAGGTTCGGCAAGATGCAGGCCGTGGGAAATTAAAACGACAGACAGTTTTTTTCTTTTTACAAGTTTTTGAATGTCGTTTTGAATGCTGCTGTACAGATGAGACTACTTCAAACAACGAGTCTTCTTCCAATGGAATTTCACATGTCACATATTTGTCAATAAATGCAATAACCTCTTCATCCGTGTTCTTGTCCAAAATTGGAGCACCAGAAATCCAAAAAAGACAATGGCAATGGGGAGAGCCACGCTGCTGGAACTCTACACGGTAATAATAATCTTCAATTTTCCCAATCGGATTTGCAGGAGACATCAGAACTTCTTTTACAAAAACATGCCATCTAAAATCAAACATTCTGGCAGCCGTAACAGGGTTTCGACGTAACAATTCACACTTATCTGCCCACTGCAACTGTTCCAAAGTCTGCGTTCGTCCTTCCTGCTTTAAAATACTATAAAGTAGATTTGTCCATCTCATATCAGCAGACGAAAACGAAGCAAACCATGTGGGTTTTCCCAACATTCTAACACAAGCTAGCAGATCACGTTGTGCTGACTGCCAAAAGGCAGGTGTGCCTCGGATGGGTTTCAAGAAGCGATACCCATCATCAAATTCCAACAACTTATTTAAAGACTCTTCATCTTTCAAAATCTCTGTCATATTTTGAGATGTACAAGTTGTGCCTTTACGTAAAGCTATTGACACTTTAGACACAACCTGTTCCAGTTCTGACATGTACTGTGCAAAGAATATATATTCCACATTACGCGCAAATCTACCATCAGCATGAAGAAGTCTATTATTAAAATAACGACTCAAAGTCAAACGATATTGTCGCTTCTCATGGTATGTGTTTAAACCTGATGGGAACAATACAGGGAAACATTTTGCTTCATTGGTAGAATCAGAAAGAAGTTTTATAGGGTTATTATTTTCACCTGGCGCTACATTCAAAACATTATCAACATATACATCCAAGGCTTCTTGTCCAATATCAACCGGCATGAGACAAGTGTCCTGGAACATACAGTGCGTCTGTCTGTCATGTAAAAGGTCATCATCATTATCATCTATTGACATGTCTTGATCTTCTTTACAACCATCATTCTTTTGAATCAAACTGTTATCTTCCAGAGAAAACTCATTGATCCAAGATTCATTGAATTCTACGTCTTTATAAAAGAAGTTACAATGTTTCAAGTACCAAAGAGCTTCTTGGACATGCATTGTGTCAACATACTGGTAATCATAATGACCTTTGTATGTCAATTTCCGCTTTAACTTAACAGGTAACAAAGATCCCTCCATATTACTACGAGGTAGCAAACTGCATGTTTCAACTATATTTGCAGGGACGCAAGTAACAGGACCATGAACGCCATTTTGTCCACCTTTTGGCAACGCTAACATCTTCATAAATGGTATATGCAAAGCTATTAAATGTTGTTCTAAAGTATTCAAGCATGCCAACTGAGGTGGGATGGGATCAAGTGTTAAATTATTGCATGAACTTTCTGGGGGGATTTCACCTCTATTAATTTTATAATGACAACAGTAACAGATATATAACTTATTTCGACAGGTTTTCAGATTACATGGTGATATGCACATGTTGCTACATCTATGCACATAATCATCACGTATACATTTATCTGCAATTAAAAACATTTCTTTAGTTTTCCTGTAGGAATCTTTACAAAAATTTAAAACCTGATGTTTGAATAGCAACCGAAAGCACACGCAACACACAAAATTGGGCCCCTCTTTTACTTTATCCAAAAATCGCTCAACAACAAAATCAAACTCCTTTGACTTTGTTTTTATTTCTTGTCTTTTTAGCTTTACTTCTGATTTTATGTGATTCTTATGTTGTGGATTAAGATATTGTTTTCTACTTAACTGTTTAACTTTTTCTCTGTGATATTCATCTTCATTATATTTTGTAATGCTTATTTGCTTAACTTTTTCTCTATGACATTCGTCGTCATTATATTTAGCTATGCTCATTTGCTTAACTTTTTCTCTATGACATTCGTCATCATTATATTTAGCTATGCTCATTTGCTTAATCTTTACTTGGTAAGTTTCATCTTTACGATATTTATTTCTCCTCCAATTTTTTTTTCGTTCCTTATATAGCAAATTTTTCTTATACAATTTCTTTTGATTAGATTTCAATTTTTGCCTATGTATCATTTGAGTTCTATATTTAAGAACTTGTCTCTGATTCTTTTTTTGTCTTAAATACATCGAAAACCTGGGATTAGCTTTACCGCTTAAAACAGTTTGCTTTGCATTTTCCTGACCTTGTGAAGACCTTGTACGGATGGGTTGTGTCTTTAACGACAAATTATCTTCACAAAATTCAAAGCAAGAGTCTTTATCACCCTGCTTTGCACAAATAACGGCATCAAAATGATTGTCACAGTTCTGCAAATATATAGCTTCATTGGTCAAATGTCTACTGTTTGAATTATATTTGGTCCACTGTGTGCTGTTAAATACATATATATCCAATCCTAACATATTAGCGGCAGATTTAAACTCAATTTCCGTAGCACAGTGACCCACATACTTAATCTGTGACTGGTTAACGTATTTTGTCACAGAAGCAAAATCTTTAGTTAACAATTTTTCGCATTCTTCTCTATTATTGGTCATGTGTGAAACAACAGCAAGTCTAATTTTACGGTGATTTTTCTCAGAACCACTAAGTGCATAGGCTACAGCTCTGAAAAAACTGTTACCGTCATTTACAATATTTTTAATCTTACACACATTTCCCAAAGGACCACGCAAAATTACTTTTTGGAAACTATGTTCTTCAAAGTCGATTTTTAAGTTGTTACAAAGAGTTTTAGCATTAAGTTCAGAAAGGGGAGTAAACAGTAAAGTATTTTCGTTATCTTGTAAAATACCGACAGACTCGTCTTCAATGGAACTCTCAGTTTTCACCGTCATTATCTGCGCAGTTTTTGGTTCTGTTGTAGATGGCCGAGTTTTATGTCCCCCTGAAAAAACTGTATTCATGCAATAATTATAACATGTTTGTGAGTTAGGCAGCTTAACACAAACAACCGTCTCATAATGATTTCCACTAATGTTTTGCAAATACATACCGTGATTAGAGAAACTGCTCTGAGAACTGTATTCAAGCCATTTATCATTGAAAAATGTGAAAATATTTACACCAAAATAATCAGCTGCAGCTTGAATTTCCAATTCAGTCGCCCACGCACCAACATAATTCATTCTAGAAATGGCAATATATTGTGAGATGGAGGAATACTCACTTCTCAAAATACTATCATACAAGTGAGAATTTCTTTGTAACTGATTTACAACAGCAAGCCTAATTTTACGATGAGATTTCTGATTTCCACTGATGGCTTGACTAAGTGCTCTAAAAAAGCAGTTTCCATCGCCCACGATGTTTTCTGTCGCACATGGTAGACCGAGTTCACCAACCATACAAGATTTATAATTTGCCCGTTCAAACTCAACATTCAACTTTCCACAAAGTGACCGTGCAATGTCTTCTGAGAGAGGGTTAAAATACAATTCCTTATTTTGCACATGAGTAACAACCACATCATCATCACTATCATCCCTGTTTGATGTTTGAAGATCAAATGGATGTTCTCCATAAGAATCATCCTGCATATCAACATTGCTCTGTTCAAAAGGAGCACTGCTACTTGGCACAGCAGCTACATCTTTACATGTGCTGCTACTTGAGTCAATGTGAACTATTTCAACTCCACTGATCTCAAATCGCCTGGGACAGAGATTCAGTTCACCAGAAAACATTGTAAGATGTGCAAAGACATCATCAAGAGAATTAAAGTGGAGAAGAACGCTCTTTCCATTTGCATCCATCATCCCGTGTTGGTTTCTTGCATGAGAGTCTACAAGAGCAAAACGTCGATTATGTCGGATGAGGGCGCAGGTACTTCCACAAAGTGTCATAAAGCAGGTTTCATACTTACCACAGATCTTCCTCAATCCATCCCAGAGAGTAGTAAGCACACCCTCCTCGATTAACTGTCCTTCCACTATATCAACATCTCCAGAAACATAATCTCCATAAAAACATTCAAAATGCTGTCCATCAACATGAATATTTTTAGGCAAGTCTGGAATAGAAAGAAGCTCATGTCCACTACTGATTAAATTGCTGTCATGCAAAGATGTGTACAGCTCATCACCTACAGTCACTACATTGTCCAATATGTCACCATTCCACGAACAAATGCTTTTCAGTTTGTGCTTTGTTAAAGCAACAATACTAATGGCTGCACACTGTAGTCCACCATATGTAAAACGAGGATCGCCCTGATGAAATGACCCACTGACTGATGCAACATGGCTACTGAAAGCTTGGCTTGCATCTGTGGCATGCGTGTCCTCAGTCAGTGCTCCGGATGTGTCCGTATTACTGGACATTTCTTCGACAGAAATGCCGCAGAGTTTATACTCGGTTGCATTTAATGATTCCCTAAGTTTGTTCAAGTGAACCATTAAATCATTTAAACACGTGTTAAATACGACGACGGGCGTACCAGATTGTGACGCTAAACCCTCTGAATTCCGTGTCCCAAAATCCACAAGAGCAAAGTACTCTCCATGCTGGATGACCAAGGTGGTTGTATCAGGCAGGGCAAAGATGCACATTCCGTTTCTCAGTAAATACATTTGCAACCGCTCATACAGTTCCCCCTCCTGGTTGAGATCAAATGTACCACGGACCGTATTTCCAGTTCGTACATCCCAATTTCTACCAAAAATGGTCTGATCTTTAACCAACTTGCACAACTCTGGTTTTGGACCTCTGTCTGATCTTTTTCGCACAATATATCCTGCCAACTTCTGACCTTGTACACGGACTTCATCTACATTTGCAGTCTTCCAGGTACAAATGGGAGAAATGTGGTGTTTTATGGCTGCTGTAATACAACATGACATCATGGCATCAGAGCTAGACTGATAACTACCAATATATGTGCCTGGGATAAGAGACGGTGGAAAGCCCTCTGAGCACCTGCAAACAACAGGGTTAGCAGCCTGACCTTTGGGTGGAGTATTTGTGCGCTGTAAATCACCCATCTCAGGCATCTAGAGTGAAAATGTGGAAAAACATGACATTTCTACATCCTCATTTTGTAAGCAGTCTGGTTCTCTTCCAAATATATTACAAATCTAATATGAGATTTTTTATAATACTGAAACTCATTTAGCAACATTACACATGCTACCCCACTAGAGTTCCTTTTGTATAAGTTACTCAAAGGATGCTGAATTCAATGTTACTTTCACTATAAATATCCATGCCAGGAGAAAAACAAACCAAATTATTTTTGCTCTGAATTGTTACACTAAATGTTAAAAATTAAGTAAATTCATTTTGAACTTGTTCTTTTGCATAATTGTGGATTCCCATTAAGTAGCCTGCTATATTTTCTGTGAAACCATCAGAGCGTGCTGTAGAGAAATTTATTTTTACTGCTTTCTGCAATTGTTTTTATAAAAAAAATTAAAGTAGGTTCTATTTAAATTCCTTTTAAATTATTAATGTTAAAACTACAATGGTGTTACTAAGAGAATTGTCAAAAAACCTTTCAAGAAACATTTGGAAATTCTACAGTCTGTAACTCTTGGCTGTGACATCCATACTAGCAGAGGAGCTAAAACCATTGTTTGTGCTCTGAACCACTCATTTACAGTAAAATACCACCTCCTCTGATCCATTAATCAGTATTCACAACAGGAAAGATACCAAATTGTTACTATAAACGAATAAAATAAACTCCCAACACCATTTGAAATGTCAATAATTTGAAAATTGTAATTATGTTATGAAAATTATAGACTAAAAAGAACAACACTGAGACAACATATTTTATTTATTTATAGAGACTGAAGAACACATTATACAAACCCGCTGGCCAGCAGAAAACTCCAACGCACAGACGCACCCCACACCAGCATGGTCAGACACCTCAGCAGAATGCAGAACAGGCTCCACCTGAAAATAAATGACACAAAAAACATATTAAGCTGATTTTGCACAAAATCAACAAAGGTACTATGTCAAATGTTTTCAATAAACACATTATTAATTAGAGATTTAACGTTAATGTGAAAAACACTAACGGTGTCTTCAGGCGGCACACATTCAACTCCCCTGGCAGGAATCACACGCGCGGGAACTGAAGCCTAAAGGAAAAATCAAAAAGAACAGTTAAATAAATTAAAAAAAATCTGTACTAGAAATTATTAATTAACTCATGTTTTTACAAACCTCCCGTGCCAAACGGCTTCTCTTTGGGAGAGCTGGTTTCTTTTTATGTTCCACAGGCTTTGTCTGCAACACCGCAAACAACATTGAGGGTTTGTGTTATTTATAAATAAAAATACTAAGAATGTTAGTAATTGCAGTATTCTGGAAAATACCTCGGTGCCTGTGCGAACATCTGGAAGAGCCGATGGAGAGACTGTTTCCATGGCAACCAAGATAGCGGGTGAGAAACGGACAGGATTTAATTTGATGAAACATTCCCTCAAAGCCACAGGAGTTCCATCGCTCTATAAAAGCAAAATTTGAATTATTAAGATACCAGTGACATTGACTATTATATTTCATGAATAGCTGCAAGCCTTACGGACCTGGTAATGAACCACTCTTTTCTTGGGTGAATCAGAGACAGAGTCCAATTCCCCCGAGTGATTCCTCTGTAAAGGTAGAGCACATATAAGAGTTTTTAGGATTACTAGCCATAGTTAAATAAACGCCTTTCTTTCATTGCAAGACAACAAAAGATAAATACCTTCCTGCCGTATCTCACGATTGTCCACTCAGAAGGGTGTGGAGCAGGAGGAGAACGAGGAAGACTCCCCACGCCCTTCACAACCACACGGGGCACCACCCTCGGTTTGTACGCAGGAGTTGCCTGACTCTGCACCAGTGGCTTTGGTGCTGACAACTCCAGGAACTGATAGCCAGCATTCCAAATCAGATCCCTGAGGATGTGCATCCCGTGGTCATCGCTTAGGTGGATCTGCACATATAAGCGGTAATCAGAGATAAAATTAACATTTCACATTAATGCAAATATATTCCTTACTGTGTTAAAAATGAATAAATACTCACGCCATCACGGCACCACAGACTCAGACGGTCCAGAGGAAAGTGGTCAGCGGTGGAATAATAAGGAATTCCTGAAAAGATAATGACAAAATAAAAAGAAAACGTTGCAAAGACCAAATCAGCAAAGATAACATAAAAAGAACTGAAATACATTACTAAACAAAAACAAAATGTGAAATATTTTAATACCTACCTAGCTTTGCTGACCTGCGGTGAAATTCTTGCTGGTAGAATAACTGTTTCTCTCTAGACTCGGTTAAACGCGGGACAAAGCCGATACAAAAGACCTAGAAAAAATAACCGATTTAGAAATATATATTCCAAACACCTAGGAAAATAATAACCTGTTAAGGAATTGATTTTTATATCACTGTTTCTATATTGAAGTCGTCAAAGACTATTACTCTGCATGCTTCAGTAGCAGAAGAGAAAATTCTAAAACATGCTGACCAGTGGTATCTGTGAACTGGTATTGAGAAACACTGATTTTTTATCACCAACAGTGCCCACCTTAGGCCAACGACTACAGACGGCCAAAAGGAACCGCTCAAATTCCTGTCCCGCCTTTTCTGGTGTAAGACTGGCCGTAAGGTCGTTTGAAGGACCCATGACGCAGACGGCGTCAGGCTCCCGAGGCACATTGGCTTTCATTGCCTCAAGATGCAAGTCGGCTGCGCAGGCTCCAGGGGTGGACATAAAGCCGAACTGTAGGCAGCCACTTGGCATCTCAACAATGCCGTCCACGAAGGACCGCAAATGGGACGCTCCGATGAGAAGGATAAACTAAAATAGTACAAACACAGCAACATAAGAACTATACCTACATATTCTATTTGAAATCATTGCAGATTT